ATGTATGTCATTTTCGATATCAGCTATATATTTATCCCATGAATCCTGTTGGGCTTTTCTTGTTAGGTTCCTGACGTGGTTGGAAATTGTGGTGTATTCCTTCTTAGTTTGTGAGCATTTGTTAGATAGATATCCCAGATATAGTTTCTTTTTCTCGTTAACAGCTTCTTCGATTTCTTCATTCCATATTTTAATCCCTTTCTTCTTCGTTCTCTTTGAAGTAGAGCTTAGTGTTTCATATGCTGTTACTTCAATTATAGTTTTCAAATTCCTCCACTCTTCTTCCACATCATTACTAATTTCAATTGTTTTATTGTGTTGGTTCAGACGTTGTTGGTACATCGATTTGACAGATTCTTTATTTAGTAGATATACTTTACAGGTTTTTGGGTAGGACAGGTTTGGCTGTTTTTGATTTTAACACATCTCTTCAATAATTTTAGTTTTCCAAGTGTGAAGTGATCACTATCTATATCGTAGCTTCTATAAACTCTAACATCTGTAAAGAGTTTGCTTATTTTATCGTTTGCCATGATGTAGTCAATAGTACTAATTTGACCACGTGCTGCCCATGTCATCTTGTGAATACGTTTATGCTTATAGAAAGTGTTCATTATTTTCATATTGTTAAAACATGCAAAATCTCTTAGTTTGCGTCCATTTTTATTCAGAGTATCTTCGTTATTGGGGCCAATTATCTTATCCATAGATGCATTTCGGTTCATATTTATTTTCTATTTCGATTCATATAATTTATGACTATACAGCGCAATAGATGAGGTGATTCGTGACGTGTGGTAGCAAGAATTATCCACTCTCTCTCGTCGTCATCGACATAAATTCGAATTTTTCGTTCTTTCAATTCAACTTTTCATTTCTTGACTACGTAAGTAGATTGCGATAAAGTAAATACACACCAGAGTATTCCTCATAACTTTAGCAATAAGCAATTCCTTGGCTGTTTTGGTCTCAGAAAGCGTATATTCGCGAAGATTCGTTTTCGAACAGCCAGGGAACTGAAATTATGTCAACCGGCTAGCTAGGAGGGGTGCGTTCATAGGCGCGCGCGTAATGTACTACTGTCGTTATATTGCACGCCAGTCCTGTTAATTTACAAATGTACGTTTCTCGTCGATTCTATTCGAAAAAAAAATTAATTTCAAAGAAGTAGAATTTTCTTTAGCTCTTCCACTTACTTCTTCACACGCACAATCTTTTGAACATTATAGTGGGGAAATTGACAAGAACCTGCTGTTCAGTAATGAAGTATTTTTCAGGAAAGTGGGAAAAGAAACATCGGTTGATCTAACTGGGGAGAAGGTGGTGGTGTGTTCCATCTCCCTGAAGAACTCACTCTTGTATTTTATATTTTGTGTTTATGTACTAGTTAGAAGGTATTGTCTTTGTCTTAGTAATGCAAGTTGACATCGACTACTAACAATTTAATTTTCATCTGAATGATGAGAAGCTTTCGAAAGCGTAGCAATCACTCTGATATTTCCAATCTGGGATCGAGTCTTCGAATATTTGTTCCGCCCAGATGACAGATCTTATGGGATGGACCAATCCATTGAAAGCTTGCCATAATTTAATATATAAAACTCGATCTCTCTCCAGGTTTCACCCGACTACGTTTCCTGAGCGGACATATAAATATTATGGTAGCGACCTTCGATGAGGATATATCTTTCCAGAAATACTTTGGTTTGGGTAATGGGTTTAAGGTTTTAAATGGTTTTATAATCGAATAAAACAATTATTTATAATGTGTGATATTATCATCTTTTATTTTTAGCTACAGAATGAATAAAAATCTTAGAGGCAAGCAGACATTCACGGCAGAGAGAGAAAGAAACAGAAAGATGGAGAGAGAGAGAGAGAGAGAGAGAGAGAAAGAGAGAGAGAGAGAGAGAAGGGGAAGCCGGGGAGAGAGATGGGGAGAGAGACGGGAAGACGGAGACTGAGAGAGACGGAGAGAGAAAGGGAGAGGGAAGGTGAAAGAGAGAGAGAAGGAGGGCAGGACGTCTGCCGGGTTCCGTTAGTATTCTTTACAAATTTTACAAAAAAATAATTTATTCGGTTTTAGCAGGAATGTGAAGATATATTTTATATTTTTGTGTTTGAATTGGAAATTTGTGCTAGTCGTGTAAACCAAACCCAAGAATTCAAATATGAACAAAATATAAAAAGCCGCAATGAGTGACGATCTGTCTGCGGTGCAGAGATGCTGCGGAGGTGCGCCGGGGCGGCGCTGCTGCTGCTGCTGCTGGGAGGTGGCGGCGGGGCGCCGGTGGCGGAGGCTGGGCGAGTGCTGGGCCTCGTGCCCGTGCCTGCCCGCAGCCACTTCATCGCCTTCGAGAGGCTCTTGAAGGCGCTCGCCGCGCGCGGACACCAGGTAAGTGCGCGATTGGTTGTTTAGTGATTCCGGGGTCGTCAACTAACAGGGTTATTAGGCCCGTAAGTGCAGTGCGTGGTTTTGCTCTAGAGGGGGAAGTAGTCTTTCCCCCGTTGTATGGCGAGATCCGGCGCCGACCTACGTAGACTAGCACGTGGTTTTCCCCAACCAGGTACATCTCACCAGTGGGGCACCGCCCCAGCTGTTTTTGGATTAGAGTATTTTCGTTTCCTTTGCAGCGGCTCTGAACGAAAGGTCTTAGATTCGAGTCTCGACGGGGACATTTATTTGACTCTAGCTAAATTGCTAGGTCGAATTT